AATGTCTTTCAAATCATGCCACAAAGGATGAAACTTGGACGATTTTGCCCTGGACATTGGAGAGAGAAACTTTGCTTTTTGTGTTGGCAGCAGTAGCTAATATTGGACAACTGTGTTGATGGACATATTGAGTGCAAAAGATCTGGTAGATCAAAACTTACATTGAGAAGTTTTGAGAGACAACTCTCGTTTGGGTACCAAAACCAGGAGTTTGGTCCTCCACCACAGACGTTCTATAGAAGGACACAAATAAAGTTTTGATTTATTTAGGGGCACAATGTAAACCAGATCTGTACAAATTGGTGGGTGCTAATGGAGGACAAGTAGAGAGATTTTGTGGAAGTTGTGGGTGGTGAAGAAGCAAAGACAAAAAAACGATAGACAAAAAAAAAAAAAGATCTCGTCCACAAGATCTGGTTCACTACATCTGATCCGCCATAACAAGATCTGGTCCACTACATTGGTTCGCCGAATCTTGTCCATCTACAGAAAAATGTATTGTCCATAGTGTAATAACCGCATCACTTGTTTCATCGTCTAGTTAGTCCGCCGAATCAGGTCACCAGAACTGGTCCGCCGATTTTTGTCACCTAGAACAAGTCTATCATAACTAGCTTTTGTCCGCCGGCCAATGATTCGCCGGATATGGTTTGCCACAACTAGTCTATCGTATATGGTCTATTTGGTCAGCTGAATCTGCTATGCCGGAGCTGGTTTAAGTTCGTAGGAACTGACTATGGTCCGCCTGAACTCGTCCGCCAAATATTTGGTCTGTTTGAACTGGTTATAGTTCATCAGAACTGATTGTGGTCTGCCAGAACTCGTCTGCTGGAGTTATGGTCTGTCGGAACTGGTCCGTCGAATCTGGTCTGCCGAATTTGGACCAGAATTAACTATGGTCCGCCGGATCTGGTCTATCGGATCTGGTCTGTCGGATCTGGTCCGCCGGAGTTCGTCCGTTGGATCTGGTCCGCTGAAACTGTTTGTTGTTGGAAGAAGAAAAAGAAGAGAGAAGATGAGAAAGAGATAATGAAAAAAAAAACAGTCAGGACACAAAGACAGAGAAGCCAATTCGTCTAGGGGTACACTGGTCTTTTTACAAAGCTTTTGTGGCAGGCGGGAGAAGGAGTTTCTCTAAATGGCAGGCGGGAGAAATTTTGTTAATGTACATGGAAGAGTTAACAAATTTCTCTTTTTTTAATTGTTTTGAATATGATAATTAATTAATAAATGTAATTATAGTCTAATATAAGTTGTAGACTATTATTCTCATATAGAATCATGTAGCTCTAACTTCATTATTGAGTTCTTTTGTTTTTGCCAAATAATATACTTTTAGCTATAGGTGTACTTTATCTGTAACTTTCATATTATTGAAAATAATTTTAGAGCCGACTCCAGCTACCGTCCATGTACGATCCATACTAGATCTGACCAACTGACCATCCTACCTCCTCTAACATTTTTTCCCTTGAAGTAGTAGAGAACAAAATAAAGAAAAGCTGAGTTCTTTTGTTTTTTAATCGTTTCTTCTATCTTTCACTCTTCTTCTCTCTCACTTTTTACATGTCTTTTTTTTATTGTTTTCATTTTAGCTTCTTATTGTCAAAATTTATCTAACTATTTTTATACAATATGTTGTGTTTATATTTTTCTTTACATTTCAAGATACATATTGCTATATTTTAGATTTATTATTATATTACATACTATCCATTTGTACTTGAACATATGTTCAATGATAAGTGGATGATCAGTTAAAGTATTGTTTATGTATTATTCTATTTGTATTTATAATTATTATGTGTTTAGTAATATAAAAACATAGTAAAACTTATTTCATGAAAAATTTTATGATTTGGTAAAACAATCATAAACAAATATCAAACAAACATCTTAACCCCTATACCTTAAACCGTATACCCTAACCCCTAAACCATAAACTTTAAATCCCAATTCCAAAACATGAAGTTCTTAACTCTTATCAACTCAATAGCTTCCTATGGATTTGAAGCTGCAACAAGGGAACCTAAACCCTAAATCCTAAATCATATACATTTAGCCCTTAAGCCCTAAACCCTAAACCCTAATCCTTAAAATCTAATCTTTAACACTAAACTCTAAACATAAACCATGAATCTCAAACCTTAACCCTTTTCCAATTTAATTTAAATCTAAAACCAAAAGCATAAATCACACACTACATTCTAACCTCCAAATATTTTAGTGAACATCCAAGCATATCCACACTACTGTAACCACATGGATATATGTGGCCAATGTATCTAGGTGAAAAGAGAAACAATGGAATATGAAAATTAAGTTAACAAAAAAACATTGGAAGATGAAAACGAAGCTAGAGTGAAAGTAAATAAATTATTTCAAAAAGGTAGAAGGAGAGGCATCGTTGAAGTATGAAATTGCTTTATAATTGCTAAAACATGTACACAACATGTCCTTAAACCTTAAGTCCTAAATCTAACCACTAAATCCTAAACCATAAACACTAAAATCTAAACTTATGCATTGTTATTTCTTTGTTGATGTTGAATTGTTAGTTAGTTATAATCCATACAATCATGTCCAGATGGAATTCCGAGTCATCTGGTTGATACTAAATAGAGCAATTGCATAGCAAAATCTCATCCGCGTGAAGTATCTCTTTCTCCTTATACCAATATAGTGTTTGTCTTTCTCTACAATATGGTTGTTGTATCGAGGTGACTTTGGTGTGTTATTGGTGTCCACGAGGCAATGTCCACATGTTCCAACATTTTTGTTGTCCATGAAGTTCAACAATTCTCATGTAGAAGTCAATTCTCGTGAAATTGATTCTGTATGCGTCTCCCAAAGAACAACTATTGTCACCAAACTGTTCAAAGTAACGGCTCATTGTATCTCTCTCCGTCTCCCAGGCTTATCCCACAATGAAGATTTTTTGTCAACATGATATCGTTCATACTAGTATTATGATTACTTTCGATATGAAATTGTCTCTGTTGAACCATATGATTGCTATTTCCCCCATTTTAGAAACCCTAAAAATTCACTTGAAAGTTTAAATCTTTCTTTCTATCTCTCTCTCTCTCTCTATGGCTTTTCTAACGCAAAATCTTCAAAATTTTGAAGTAAACGAAAGAAAAAAGAAGAAACATTTTCTCTCATAGCAAAAGAAAACGATTCATAGAACACATGAAAATAAATTAAAACTTTGAAGAAAGAAGTGAAACAATAGAAAAGAGCAAAAACCCTTTGTTTTGCTTGATTAAAATACTAGTAAAAGAAAAGAGAGAGAAGCTAAGGAGAATGACTTTAGAGAAAGAGAGAGAAAGAGAGAAGCTTTTGAAGAAATTAGATAAATGAGAGGAAAGAAAAGAGTTAAAGCTTTTGAAGGGGTTAATAGTCATTTTCATAGTAAAAAATATAGAGGTAGTAAGAAGTGGGTTTTTTGGTAAATAGTTTGAGTAAAAGTAGGTTATTGTGCATTTTTTTCATTTTTTAAAGATCTGAAATTATGATTCTCCTATCATATTTGTTTCATTTTATTTTCTAGTTATTTTTTATAATCAATAATACATAAAGTTAATAATTTTTTACAAGTTTTGTGGTTTGAATTTTTTTTAAATGGACGTATATCACTCAATTAATAGAAAAGTGTGTGTTCGACATCCCATATCAGTTCAAATATTTAGAGAATGTTTCAGAGTCATATTATATATAAGATCAAAATGAATTCAAATCTGAATGAGTATAAAGTTTCACTTAATAAGCATCCAAAGTTTAAAATCATTTAATTCGAAGTTTAGGTGAATTCTTTATTTTTATCGTATATAGTCAATTTTGATACTTTTCAGAAGTTTAAAATATTATAATTGATATACTGAAACTTAATGGAAAAATTTAGAATAACTCGGACGGACTGTATAACGGAACGAGTTTAATACTTCAATACTGGTTAAATCAATATTTTACTAATCTTATTAACATCAATATAAGATATGACCAATCAAATGATTTATTAAAAATTGGTATTATGTAATTTCAATAATTATTAACAAATTCCAACAAATCTTTGTAATTTCCAGAAAATTTAAATTTTCAAAGAGTAAATTTTGTCTCACCGTACATTACGGGATAAATATTAGCATTAAATTATATCATACTGCATTTCAAACAACTTATATTAAATTATGATTTAGGAAAAAATCTTGCAGCATAGCGCATGTTTCGAGCTAATTTTAACTAATACTAAGTACTAAACTTTTGTTTTTGTTTCTGGTTTAACTTAGTTTTCCTACTTGTTAAAATTACCATCGTAATAAGACTTTGTCTCTACTTGCTTTAACAAATTCATAAAAAAAAAAAGAAAAAAAAAGTAATAGAGACTCTTCAACATCTTGGCTACAAAGCCTACAATTAAGCATCCTAAGTAAAGACCATTGTACTCGTGTCATTTGATCATCGAATCATACAAAATAATGAAATGTAATTTACTCATTTTGAGACGTTTAAATTAAATAAAATTGTTACTATTTCCAAATATAAAACACTGATTTCTAAAAATAGTATATCTGAACCAAAAAAAAAAATTGGACTTTATTACAAGTTCATAAAGTTATACTCTATTTGATAAAGTTTTGAGATCCGCAACTCTTTACAAGTAAGAAATATCAGAGAGAGACCAAAAAGATCAGAGAGATACTTCAAACTGAAGAAAAAAATTAAGGGTTAGTCTTCTTTGATCTGTGTTCTTTAATTTTCAAACTTTTTTTCTTTTATGGGTTTGGCTTTGGGACTAACCTTTGGGTTTCAAGATTCTTGAAAAGCTAATGAAGCTTTGTTGAATTTGAAAAGGAAACTGTTTTTTGGTTTATGGGTTTAGCTTTGATCTCTTTGCTTTGCTACATATATATACCTAAAGATCTAACCTTTGGCTCTCAAGATATATGGCTTTAGCTTTGAATCTCTTTATTTTGTTGTGTTCTTGAATTTTTAGGTTTTTCGAGTCGAAAAGGTTTAAGTTAGGTCAAAAAGGTTTAAGTTAGTATGGTTATCTAAAGATTTTGTTTTCTTGAAATTGTGGCAGTATCAAGATTTAGTCTAACTTGTACTATGGTGATTTTGGTTAGTTCCACCTAACTTTTGTAATTGTTTCTTTGTCTAAAACATTTCCATAATTTACATTTATTATAGATATTATACTCTTTAATTTAGGTAGCTTTGGTATAATCAAAAAAATATATATATATACTCTGTAATTTGAGAACTTTATGTTAAGATTTTTCTCATAATGTTTGTTTTTTCATGTTTTTGTAGCGTTGGTCTGAAGTTAGAAGCTATGGTATCAAGAGAAATGTCGTTTCGTAGCATTGTTCGTGATGTTAGAGATAGTATAGGAAGCTTTTCGAGACATGGTTTCGAAGTGAGAGTGTCTAATGGGACTCATGAGAGGAGTAAATCTCACGGTGCATTGGTTAAGACACTTGGTGAAGATCTTGCTGTAATCAAGAACACTCGTTGGGCTAATTTGCCAGCTCCTATACTACGAGATGTGATGAGAAGGTTGGATGAAAGCGAGAGCAAGTGGCCTGCTCGTAAACAAGTTGTTGCTTGTGCTGGTGTCTGCAAGACATGGAGATTAATGTGCAAAGATATTGTCAAAAGTCCTGAGTTTTCGGGTAAACTCACGTTTCCGGTTTCGTTGAAACAGGTGCGGGGTTTCGTTATTCGTTACTTCCATTCGATATTATCTCGGTTTCTCTGACCACTTTTATGATTTGTGTAGCCCGGGCCTAGGGACGGAACCATACATTGTTTTATCAAAAGGGACAAGTCTAATATGACTTACCATCTTTACCTTTCTCTTAGTCATTGTAAGTCATTCGTCTTTATCGATGTTACTAAACCTTTTGCTTCAGTAAACTATGTTTGGTCATTTACTAATCAAGTTCTTGAAATTAACAGCAACATTAAATTTTCTGTATTACTTAGTTTTGATTCTTGATATATACTAGTGGCTGATCATTTACTATCCTTTGAACAGCCTTACTTGTTGAAAATGGAAAGTTTCTTCTCTCGGCTAAGCGCACACGAAGGACTACATATACAGAGTATGTGATATCAATGGATGCAGACAACAATTCAAGATCAAGTAGTACTTACATTGGCAAAATGAGGTAATTAAGAATAAGATTATAAAAAAAGAAAATTTAATTCTTCCAAAATATGATTGAGTTCTTGATTAATTCTTACTTAATGTTCTATAACTTCATTTTCAGGTCTAACTTTCTAGGGACAAAGTTCATAATATACGATACAGTGCCTGCGTACAACAGCTGCCAAATACTGTCCCCGCCAAACCGGAGTTGTAGGTTCATCTCCAAGAAAGTCTCTCCCAATGTCCCATCTGGAAGTTACAACATTGCTCAAGTTACATATGAGCTGAACTTTCTTGGACCCCGTGGACCTCGGAAGATGCACTGCATTATGCACTCTATCCCTTCCCTAGCTCTAGAGCCCCGCGGCACTGTCCCTGACCAACTGGAGAATCTGGAACATTCCCTTGATGAGTCTTTCCGCGGCTTTGATTCCTCAACGATTATCGAACATTCGGGAGGTTTCAGCAGCTCCCGGTTCTTAGACATCGTTGGACTTGGACCGCAAGAGAAAGAAGGAAAGGATGGACCTCTAGTGCTGAGAAATAAAACGCCAAGGTGGCACCAACAGTTAAAGTTCTGGTGCCTTAACTTCAGAGGGAGAGTGACAGTTGCTTCGGTTAAGAACTTCCAGCTAATCTCCGGTGCAACGGTTCAGCCCTCTTCTGGCAGTGATGCTACTAGAGCAGTGACTACAACACCATCAGGACCATCACAGCAGCCAGGGCCATCAGATAAGGTGATACTACAGTTTGGGAAAGTGGGTAAGGACATGTTCACTATGGACTATAGCTATCCTCTCTCTGCCTTTCAAGCCTTTGCTATTTGCTTGAGCAGCTTCGACACTAAATTGGCTTGTGAATAAATAAGTACATTAATGGTCCAGAACATTTATATGGGGCTAGTTTAAATATATAGGAACAGTTTGGACTTATTTGTTCTTGTTTATCCTATTGGTGTGTGCTAGTGAATTTGAACGTTATGGTTATTACTTGTTATCTTCGAAAAAGTTAGTTAATGAAAAATTTTAAAACTGTTCTCATTTATGAAAGATGCAAAACAAAGTAGTTGTGGCCATATATGACTTAACACCTCGAGCAGAAAGAAGCCTTGTAAACGCACATCGACAAGTAACATCGAACCGAGCTGAATCAGGGAGAGTCTTAAGAGCATGAAGCTAGGGGGACTGTGAATAACAAAACCAGACCCTAGTCTCAGTTTGACAATGCTACTATTGCAAGTGAAGACCTCTAAAGGAAGTGATAAATGAGACAGCTTTTCAAACACTAGGAGTTCTTCACATAAGACATAATAAAACATAAGAAAACCAAAACAATTCGGAAGATTTTGATACTTAAAGGTCAACAATTGTTACAATATAGATAATTTTTTTACTTGTTATAAACCTAATCGCATCCATGCATGAGTTAATCTTGTCTATCAAGTATAAACCATTGTCTCTAATTTTAAACAATTGAATACATAAGGAAAAACTTTTTAAACAATGGGAAATTCTTGTATATTCCACTAAAATGAGTTTAATTTTTATTTAATCAAAAATACGTTATTAGTTTTATTTTCTAAAAGTATCATTAAAAAAAAAACATTTAACAATACCAAAAACTTAAACTAAACTTTTGAAAATCAATTTCGTGTTTGTGGTAATTTCGGATAAATAAAATTGTTGTGGGAAAAAAATATGGATAGACGTGATTGTTATTAAGAACAATAAAATATTCATAACAATAGAATTATAGCAAAACAATGGTAATAATAACTTCTAAATCAAAATTATTTTTAACAATTTGAAATCATTGTATAAAATTAGTTCTCAAAGAAGAGAAAAAAACATGCATCTCCCTCCATTCAATGTAGGAACACTTAGTTCTTTTATTTGTAACCATAAACTGCAAATTCATTAAGTGGTTTAAAAACAAAGGTGAAAGTGAATTTACTAGAAATAGACTAACCATCATTTTAAAACATGCTACAAAATCTCTTTCTCCTTGATTCTAATCATCACTTTCTTCCTAAGGTAAATTAAAATCTCTTGAAGCCAATTTTTTCATCTAATCACAAAAGATGCCAGAGACAGAATATTCATTTGGAAGGTCATTACTTAGTTTGCGTCGTGACCAAGCAAACCTAATGGATCCAACAGCATTCCCTGAGCCTATGACCATGGAGGTGGAGTTAGATTCTTTTCAAAGACAAGTAGCCGAAAAATTCATCGATCTTAATGCATCCGCGGCTGATGATGAGATCCTCTCACTTGAATGGATAGGGAAACTTCTTGATTCTTTTCTTTGTTGCCAAGAAGAGTTCCGAGTTATAATATTCAACCACAAAACTGAGCTTCTTAAACAACCAATGGACCGATTGATAGAAGACTACTTCGAAAGGAGTGTCAAGGCTCTTGATGTATGCAATGCTATCCGTGATGGTATCGAGCAAATTCGACAATGGAAGCAAATGATTGAAATCGTTATATCCGCTTTAGACACTAGCCAAAGAAAACAACTTGGTGAAGGAGAAATCCACCGAGCAAAAAAAGCTTTGATTGATTTGGCAATTGGAATGCTAGATGAGAAAGACTATTCCAACACTTTGGCCCAGCGAAACCGCTCTTTCGCGCGCAACAAAGACCATAATCAACACATTGGCTATTTTAGGTCACTTTCTTGGAGTGTCTCTCGGTCATGGTCAGCCTCTAGGCAGTTACAAGGCATTGGAAATAACTTAGCAACGCCTCGAGCCAGCGATGTCATGGCTTCCAATGGCTTAGCTCTCACTGTCTATACAATGACATCAATATTATTGTTTGTAACATGGGTTCTTGTAGCAGCCATACCTTGCCAAGACCGTGGCTTACATGTCCATTTCTACTTCCCTAGGCATTTCCAATGGGCAGTACCAGTCATGTCCTTGCATGATAAGATCATGGAGGAATCAAAGAAAAGAGACAAGAAGAAGAAAGGTTGTGGACTACTTAAAGAGATTAACCAAATCGAGAGAAGCTCAAGATTGTTAAGTGAATTGATTGACTCAGATAATTTCTCATTAACCGATGAAGAAGGGTTAGAGTTGCATGAGAGAGTTCAAGAATTGGTGCATGTGTGTGAAGCCATGAAAGATGGTTTGAGTCCATTTGATAGGAAAGTGAGAGATGTCTTCCATCAGATTGTTCGTAGCCGCACTGAGGCTCTTGATTCACTTGGAAAGATTAAAAATCAAGAATAGGTCAGTTTCATATATGTTTTCATGAAAGTAAAAATCATGAGTATAACGATCATATATATGTGTAACTGTTGGAGATGAAGGTGTTGTATGATTAGTAGTCCGAGAGTTTTAGATTTAATTATGGGGATAACATTGTGATTGTACTAGTTGATGTTAATGTTAAGATATAAGTATTAAAAATTTTGTGGAGATGATATTGGGTTATTTGATTGTGTAAATTTATTTTTCAAGAAAATAATGTTGCATTACCAAATATTAATCTTTTAAATATGAAAATTTATAATCTTCTTTCAAAATTTAAGAAACTTAAATTACTACTCCGTGATATAATTACTAGGTTATGAACCTCCATGATATCGCGGAGGAACTCATTTTCAACAAATATTCATTATAAATTATTTTTAGGGAATTTTATTGAGACTGCCATTTTGGAAACTCGATTTTGTCAAACTGCCATTAATGAAAGTTTCTTTCAAAACATGCCACAAGGATAGAAACATGGACGATTTTACTCTCGAAGAAAAAGACAAAAAAAAATGATAGACAAAATCAAAATAAAAAAAGAGATCATGTCTACAAGATCTGGTCCACTACATCTGATATGCTATAACTAGTCGACAAAATTGGTTCGCCGAATATTGTCCATCCACAGAAAATGTATTGTCTATAGTGTAATAACTGCATCACTTGTTTGATCGTCTGTTTTTATCACTTAGAACAAGTCTATCATAACTAGCTTTTGTCCACCGGAAAATGATACGCCGGATCTGGTTTGCCACAACTAGTCTATCGTAACTGGTCTATCGGGTCCGCCGAATCTGCTATGCCGGAGCTGGTTAAATTTCGTAGGAACTGACTATGGTCCGTCTGAACTCGTCCACCAGATCTGGTCTATCGGAACTCGTCTTTCTGGGTTGGTCGAAACTGGTCCGCCGAATATGGTCTGCTTGAACTGGTTATAATTCATTAGAACTGACTGTGGTCTGCCAGAACTCGTCCGCTGGAGTTATGGTTTGTCGGAACTGGTCTGTCGAATCTTGTCTGCCGAATTTGGACCAGAATTGCTATGGTCCGCCGGATCTGGTATGTCGAATATGGTCCGTCAGATCTGGTATGTGAAATCTGGTCCGTCGGAGTTCGTCCGCCTGATTTGGTCCGCCGGAATTCGTCCGTCGGATCTGGTCCGCTAAAATTGTTTGTTGTTGGAAAAAGAAGATGAAGAAAAAGAAGATGAAGAAGAGAAAGAGATAATAATAAAAAAATGAACAGTCACAACATAGAGCAGCCAATTCATCCAGGGGTACATCGGTCTTTATACAGAGCTCTTGTGGCAGGCGGGAGAAGAGGTTTTTCGAAATGGCATTTCTTATAAGTTTTATCACTGTTCATGGCACTATTTACAATTTTCTCTTATTTTTATTACATTTATATATTAAATTGTTGCTACAATGAATTCAAATATTTGAAATATTATGTAGATTCTTCCATCATTTTAAGTTATATTGAAGTATTTTTAAAATATTGTCAAATCTTTGTAAAATACTTTTAAGAGAATTTATTAATAGAATTACCATCTTCTTAAGAATTTTAACGATGGTAAAAATATTTGTAAGTAAACCAAAACAGAACAAAACATTATCATAAAAATATGCGATAGTCCAAAAATATTTTAGAGAAATTATAAAATTATGTTTTTAAGAACTTTCATAGTTATTTGCTAAATTAATGATTCTAAGAACCTTTTAATGTTAACATAATTTATATATAATAATTTCTTATAGTACTTGCAAATTTAGTTATTAAAATATAGGGTAATATTAGAGAATAGCCAAATTTTAGACAAAAATTAAGTAAATAGAATGAAACATTTTTTAATTGTAAAATAGCCATGGACCCACGTTTTAGAAGGAGTGAAATGACAAATTTATCTTCTTTGTATTTTGGAGTGTGATAGAAAGAGAAAAAAAAATCGGCGATGAAAACACAAATGAGATAGTTTTTGTGAAATTTTGAAAAATAGCGTGTAACATATAAAATTCACACGTTATATTGAACTGAATAACATGGTATTTATCAAAATATAATGTCTTTTACAAAAAAGACATGTTTGTTAAAAAAAATAAACTGAATAACATGTATTTTTGGAATAAATCACATAAAATCTTTATAAATAACTTGAAATATTGTAAAGTAAAGTGGTAAAGAGATGTATCTCATGTTATAACGTGTAATTAAGTACAGTAGCACGTTATAAAAGAAAATGACATGTATAAAATTATAAAAGACAGAAGAAGGAGAAAAAAAAGGAAATAAAAACTTGGGCTATAAATGTAACTGTAACCGAAGAAAGTTGGGCTATAAATATAATTGTAACAGAAGAGAGAGAGTGCTACAGTGCCCATAACTAGTTTCTTAATTTATACCTAGAATTTGGCTATCTAATACATATTCTCTAAAATATATATAATATATATAAATAAAAATCTCTCAACGTGCCGATCCGAATCTAGTAAATTATATTAAAAAAGAAAAACTTAAGTCAAGATTTTGAACATAAGTTATTCCTCATCGAGATGTAAACATGTTTTGGCATCAGTTAAACAAACATATCATATTTACCATATCGCAAAACATTCTAAGTTTATTCCTACCAGGCTACCACAAATATCTCAGCAACACATTTATTTTCTTCTTTAGCTTAAGGAGAAAGAAATAACATTTTCTTGACAACTAAGAGTCGTAGAATCTTACTTAGTAGTAGTGGTCTTAGAATTACTCAAGTTCCTTTTTTACTATTTTTAAATAAAGAACCGTATTAACCTAAATAAAAATTATAATTTGGATACTTGATAAATCAAAGTTCATGCTCATTTGTAGTTGTGAACATATTAGTCATATTTATAATGATTTTAAACTATAAAAATTTTATATCTTATGTAGACGTTGTACATAAATATTTTTATTTATCGATTGAGTTATATACTTTCGTTTTCAAAAATTTAAATTGCAAAATGTGTAGAAAATTTTTTGATATAAATTAAACATATCATATTTACCATTTTGCAAAACATTCTAAGTTTATTCCTACCACAAATATCTCAGCAACACATTTATTTTCTTCATTTACTTTAGGAGAAAGAAATAACATTTTCTTGACAACGAAGAGTCGTAGAATCTTACTTAGTAGTAGTGGTCTGAGAATTACTCAAGTTCCTTTTTTACTATTTTGTTTCGGTGGCATCATCCTCTTATAGGCTAACACATTGATGATGATATTTATTATTTCTCCAATTATTAATATAAATAAATATTTGGCCAATCATCGGGCGGTCTCACCACATTTGGTTGATTCAGAAGTCTCCAAAGTTTCTCTATGTTCATCATCAATTTCATCAAACCCAGAAAGAATCTTTCTTCAACAGAGATACCCACAAATCAATTTCACCCATTTCTCTCCTCTTCACTCTTAAAGGTAAAGGAACAATCTTTTCATCGTTTTAGTCCATTGTTGATGAACCCTTGATTCAATTGTTGCATTTTACTGGGAAAGTTTGTATCTTTTCTTGATTTTGATTGGTTTCTGGGTATATTGCTTTTTTTTTTGAATTTGAGTTTTACAAGTTAAAGCTTGAACCTTTCGTGGTGGGTAATCTCCATTCTCGCGGTTAACGTGTTTTGTTCCATGATCTTCTCTTGTGCTTTCTCGTTTTATATGGAAACGGTTGAGATAAAGAAGACAAAAAGCTTATTTTTTTCGGTTGCTTTGATATATTAATTTGCTTTTTTTTTTGTGTGTGTGTATAAAGTGCAGCTAACTTTCTGAACCTGAGGATTGACTGGTCGGTGCTTCAAGCTTTTGAATTTGCTGTGTACAGCGTTTTTCAGGAGAGAGAGACATTAGTATCTACAAGACACCTTTGGTCGAATACATGTATTAGGGGAGTGTTAGTGTGTATAAGATGTTCTTTTGTGGAGTTTGTTGCTGCAGCTGATTGTGTGGGGAGTTTGGGGACAGAGAGAGCTGTTTAGTTGAATTCAGTTTTTAAAGGTGATGGCGAGTAATGTATTTGATCATCCCCTTCAAGAGATCAGGGATGGGAAGGATGATTCTGATGAAGATAAGGGTGTAGATAGCGAGAAAGCGAGTTTGTTGGAAACATCTAGTTCTGTAGAGACAGGTCCTGAGGGTTCTGGTCGTTCTTCTGATGGGCGTAGGGGTTAGTCTTCTCATCTGTTCAACCTTGCTTTATCCACTTTCTGAACAAAGTTGTTATATCTGCATAATTCACCAAGCTTTGAAGCAAAAGCCAGGACTTTGAATTTCTTACTAACTTTGTCCATTGTTACTTTCGCCATCGTGTTACCAAATAGAGTATAACCACTGATCAAGATTGTATGTTCTTGAAGGACTAGACCACTGCAAAACTGCACCTGTTGGTCTCTGTGACGATATGCTAGTCGATGACAATGAGATGAAGTACTCTCGGTCATTGACAGAGAAAGGGTCTCCTGCAAGTCATAATCTAAAATTGGATAGATTAACGGAGCGGGAAAAGGTAGGAAACTAAACCCCTCATGTATTTAGTTGTTTCTATGGCAATGGAGCATGAACATAAGAAGAACATTTTATCCACATACATTTTGCTAATAGTTATTATTACCAATTGCCTCATCATGGTATTAATCTTAGATATTCACAATTGAATATTCTCTTTCTGTGCTGTAAGAATCTTTAGGATATGTCTCTCAGATGCGGTACACTGCAATCGTTATTATGTCCTCATGGTTTCGTTTTGATAAAATCTCTTTGTTCCAGCAAAAACTCATCGTTGAGCTGGTCAGAATACAAAATGACGGGACAGTGGAAGTAATAGATAATGGTACTCCGGTATCGGAGTTATTGGAGTTTGAGCCAACGAAAGGGCAGTCCACAGTCACATATGAGAAGTCCTTTACAGAGTCCTTTAGATCCATTCCAAGGTTAAAAATTGTTATACTTGTGGTTGGAACTCGAGGTGATGTACAGCCTTTTTTGGCTATGGCAAAGCGCCTCCAGGTATTTTTTTAATTTGTTTTCTCATTCCTTGTATCATACGTGAACTTAAGATTTAAGAGGGAAGCCCATTTCCATTATATGTAATTTTAGTGGATGCATAAAGTACGCTGCAAATAAACAGGGTCATTACTCATATCCAAGTTGGCATGTGCCTATAGCATGATATTTGTAATTTAGTTTGATTTTTTTATCTCCACATATTTTCTTGACTCATTTCCGCTAGAGCTAGGGATCCCGAAGATTCTTTGTGAAATTATAATAGATTGGTCATTGGCATTGAAAATGGTGAAAATTATATTATGTTGCAGGAATTTGGTCATCGTGTTAGGTTGGCAACTCATGCTAATTTCCGCTCTTTTGTACGAACTGCTGGAGTAGAGTTCTATCCCTTGGGTGGTGATCCGCGAGAGTTAGCTGCATGTAAGAAGTCCCCCGTTAAACGATACATTTATCATTTTGTTCTTTTTTCTTTTCTGATGAAAGCCTAATATGGATACACCCTTAAGCTGTCAGAAATTTTCTTCATGTATTTAGATAAAATAGTTATGAGTATTTTTGAATGTAGATATGGCTAGAAATAAAGGTCTCATTCCTTCTGGGCCTTCAGAAATATCAAAACAGAGAAAGCAGTTAAAGGCAATTATAGAGTCTCTTCTCCCGGCATGCATAGAGCCTGATATGGAAACTTCTACCTCTTTCAGAGCTCAAGCAATAATTGCAAATCCTCCTGCATATGGTAAGTCCTTCACCGACTTCACAATGTTTTACTCATCAGCACCTCTGTTTCTAAACTTTTCTATAGCATATTTACTAGATTGTTTTCATTGCTCCCATGAAGCTGATGATATGGTTTTTGTTCTAATTGCAGGACATGTGCACGTTGCCGAAGCTCTTGGAGTACCAATTCACATTTTTTTCACAATGCCGTGGACGTGAGTTGACTTCTTTGCTTTTTAATATCAAAGGTTGGTGCACCAGCCTACACATGTTCTATGTTGTCATGCTTTCTTACATCCTTTTTCTGTAGGCAGGCCTACCAATGAATTTCCCCACCCTTTGGCGCGTGTTTCTCAAAGTGCTGCATACTGGGTAATGTTATTATTTAGAGCATCCTTTACTGGTTCTTTCTTATGACTATTCACCTTTCAATATGATTCAAAGCATTATGAGGCTGATTCGTTCACAACATTTTCATGTCCCAGCTATCATATATAGTTGTTGATCTGATGGTATGGTGGAGCATAAGGACATATATTAATGATTTTAGGAAGCGGAAGCTAAATCTTGCACCTATAGCATATTTCAGCACATACCATGGCTCAATTTCGCACTTGCCTACTGGTTACATGTGGAGTCCCCATGTTGTGCCAAAACCAAGTGGTAAGAGTACTGCTGCACTCCCTTACATCTTTTCCTCTGAGGTTTATCATATGTGTCCTTCCTACCATTTTGCATTGTACCTTTATTTTGGTCTTAAATCTCATTTTTTTCTTCTGGCTACGGCAAGACCATAAGGCATTGTCAAATTTTGGATGCGTTATTTTCTTTGTGTCTCAGCTCTTCATCTCTCTTTGATTATCTGAAAGATTATGCTTTTGTCGACTTATATGCAGACTGGGGTCCTTTAGTTGATGTTGTTGGCTATTGTTTCCTGAACCTTGGATCAAAGTACCAACCTCGCGAAGAGTTTATCCAGTGGATAGAAAGAGGATCACCTCCCATATATATTGGTTTTGGAAGCATGGTAAGCCAAAGACCCTTAATAGTCAGAAAATGTGTTTCTTTCTTTGGTAATATTCAGTTACAGGGCATGGTGTTGACAGTGAATCCTGGTATTACTGATTTAGCTTGAATAGAAATCTTAGATTTGTATCAACTTAGAGAGCATCATGTTCTACTGTATTTGACCGATATATTTATCTCCACAAATTGTGTTCCAGCTCACAGTATTATTGCTTTGTGTTTCTCTTTTCCTTTACACAACCAGCCTCTTGATGATCCAAAAAAAACAATGGACATTATACTGGAAACTCTGAGAGATACAGAACAGAGAGGGATAGTTGATCGAGGTTGGGGTGGCCTTGGAAACCGTAAGTAGCTTCTGTACCTTGTTCTTTGACTCTCTATGTCCTGAACTGATTTTCTTCTTGCTTTTACGGATTCAGGATACATATTTACCAACTAACATTTTGCAGTTGCTACTGAAGTTCCTGAAAATGTATTCCTCTTGGAGGACTGTCCTCACGATTGGTTGTTTCCTCAATGTTCGGCTGTGGTAAGCCCTCTTTAGATTCCCACTGTATTACTACATTTATTGTCTCCAATGATATTATCTTCTAATTGAGGCTCTTTCTTGTGTTGTGGATATGAAGATTCATCATGGTGGTGCTGGAACCACAGCGACTGGACTAAAAGCAGGGGTAAGGAATTTTAATTTTGAATCTTGTTGGCTCATACCGATCACCAACTTGTCCTGTGGTTGAATCTTTATCACATTTTCTTGACCTTATAAAACCTAATGGTTTTTATCACTTTTAATTCCATTTGTGTCTGCAGTGTCCAACAACAATCGTGCCATTCTTTGGGGATCAGTTCTTCTGGGGTGATAGGATATATGAGAAAGGACTAGGGCCTGCGCCAATACCAATAGCTCAGCTTAATGTCGAAAACCTCAGTAATTCTATAAGATTCATGCTACAACCAGAGGTAAACAAACTTGCTTTCCCCTTTTTTTATATCTTCTAAACCCACTTAGGATGTTAGAGTAAAGAATCACAATAGAAGTAAATTTCAAACACTCTCTTTATTACAAAATCAATAGAACCATACAAAACTGAAGACGTAAAGCTCAGAGTTTTGATGTGTTTCACAAGTGGGATCTCATACTAAATAATTTCCTAAGTCTTCTAGAAAGTGTCGTCATCATAGTACACCAAATCTTGTGCTTTCAGGTGAAGTCACAAGTGATGGAACTAGCGAAAGTGCTAGGGAACGAGGATGGTGTAGCTGCAGCAGTTGATGCGTTCCACAGGCATTTGCCACCGGAGCTGCCACTACCCGAGTCCTCACCTGAGAAAAAGAATGAAGATGATCAACCAGACCTGTTACAGTGGTTCTTTATTCAGATTGGCAGAAAGTGTTGCCTTCCATGTGGTGGCGTGTGATATCAAATTTCCCTAGGTGTGTTTTTATCTTTCAAAAGCTTGTCTATGCAACGCAACTCGATTCATTTCATTCAATGGTCAGGAATATGATTAGATATTCTTTTTGCACAGTTGCTTAAAATTGGATATAATAAAACTATTGTGATGGATTTGAGCATCACTCTTGATTGAATCTACTTACTCTCAGTGTCAGAAGTCAGAAGCAGTATTGTTTGCAAGGATCAGGTATCAGTAGCCTCACATCTTTAACACCTAACTCTTCTTGGAATCTTTTGTGAGCATCTTGGAGAAATCTAAAAACATTCGCCAATGATCCTCTGCGCCGGCTCTCGTCTTTCTTCTCTTCTGCATATGATTCAGACATAGTATCATCATCGTCTCTGAAATACTTGTATCTGGTGATATGCAACAAGTTTCTCTCGTCATATGGCCAAACATCAACCGTATCATCAACAATCACAACTTTACGCTTATCAGCCTGAACAAGATCAAGTGTCTTAAAGTAAGGACTTGCTTCTCTGGCTATGACTCGGTTGCCAAAGTATACTTGATCCGGATCAATGCACCTCAACACCGTCTCGGCGTAACTGGAACTGGCCATTGTGTAAACGTGCATGGTGAAAAGCTTGTTGGCTTCTAATAGAAACTCATGAACACAAGGTCGTAGCTTTATCATATATTCATTGCATCTCCATAGATCTTGCCTTGTTTTAGCTTCTTCGAGTAGATACTTCTCCTGTATAGAAAGGTCTGAAACAAGCCTCGAGTGGATAAGCGTGTGGTCCAAGTCAAGGACTAGATGAAGTTTCTTCTTCTTCTGCTTCTTCTTCTTCTTCTTATGGCTGAGACGTGCGAGTTCTGATTTTATAAACCTCGCAGTCTTAGCTTCGTACGCGAGGCAACATTGTTCTAATCTGTTGACAATATCATCCATCATGCAAATCATATTTTCTACAGACATTATCAACAGAGAACCTCTTAAATCGAACAGCCCCAGAAAAAAAAAAAAAACCCTAGTTTTATCGGAGCCCTAGAGACTAGAGAGGAAACACCAGTGACATAATTTTATTTTTATGAACTTCAATTACTTTGTATATATAGAAGAAGCCTATGCCCCGTAATTGACTACAAAAGTTTGATTTTAAAAAAATATTATACATATAAATATATATTTTTGTATAATTTTAAGAAAAAAAAATATGTAAAATATGTCATAATGTAAAGATACTTATAATGTTTAAAAATTAAAAACTTTACAAAAAAATGATTTAAAAGTAATAATTTAATATTTTTTAGGTTACAATTATTAAAATTATTATTTTTTAATTATATATAGACTCACGGGGCCAGACCGCTATTCCATCTAGCTTAACGGGGCGGGATTGAACACAATTTCTTTGTTCTTGTAACTAAGGGTCTGCTCGTCCGGTCCAAAGAAAAATAATTCCAGTTGCAGGCAGGTCCTGATGGATGAAGGTTGGCCTGTTTGACATCTTTGATTTATCCGTATATGCTGGCTTATAATTTATAATTTAAATATTTTCAATGTACATAAAAAGGGTTATATTTTTTTTTAACGTAAAACCAATATAAATTAATAAAGTCTTCAAATTAAAAAAAAATAATAGTCCTGACTCAGTTCGATGTAAAAATTCACAAATTTCAATACGATAATAAGATAATATTTTTTTAAAAATTCCCATGTAAAATATAGTTCCAATAGTATCATTAGAGAAAATTAAACTTTAATCCAAAAAGTGTAATTTTTATCAGAAATCTTTAATTTTTTAACAGTAATATTTCAAATAATTAATTTCCTGATTAGAATTAATTATACACATATAAATATAGTAAAACTATTATAAATTATATATATATATATATATATATTCCAGAGCAGAATTGATATCCGTCTGTTTAAATTATAGTATTTGTAATTTGCTTGGCTTGTGAAAAATACTAATCTTTAATATTATATATATATATATATATATATTGTATATGCTTTGTAAATTACATATATCTAGATTTTTTGAATCGAATTACAGAACGAAACAAATCTAACAGATATTTTGCTTCACTCGAGTGTAAGTGTGAACGGTGAAGTTGGAGATCTTTCTTTATCTGTTTCGTTGGTTTAAATAGGCCTAAAGAACCTTTGGGTGGAATTACATGGGCCATGTGGATTTTTTTTTAAAAACTAATGATTTAGTCATTTACTAAGGGAATTAGTGTATATAATAAAAGTATGGGACAATTTTAAAAATGCCCCTTTTGGAGAATACATTTTTAAAAATGCCCTATTGGGGAGAGCATTTTTAAATTTACCTCTCTCTCTCCATCATCTCTCTGTGGATCTGCTCTCTCTCTCCATCATCTCTCTGGATCTGCTCTCTCTAGCGTCGTCGTTGGTAGAGCACTTGTCGTCAGTTATGGACTGTTGAATCAATTATTTAGGTTTGTGTAAATTTTGTAGAATCCATATAAATTTTGGGTAAAATTGAATAGAATGTTAGTAGGTACAGATTCATTAGGGTATACTCTGAAATTTAGTTTTTGTTTCATAATCTTAGTGTACCGAAAAAAATTACAAACCTTTTAAAAGCATTTTAAAAGGTTTTAAATTGATTTTTAATGTGTTTTATACAGGTTGGAATCTTCATAAAGATTATCACGGTTTTCGTAATGGATTGTGGTGTTGTTGGTGGGACTAAAGGCGATTATAAAGCTTATGAGGAATATAGCGTTGTGTCCTACTGTTAAAGAAGTTGTTATCTGTGAAAGATCAATCCCTTGTTTGGTTCCAATGTTGAGGTGGGCGATTTCAGATGTGAGAATTGCAGCTGGAAAAATGTTGGTGGTGTTTGCTTGCATTTGTAAGAGGTTGTGGTGTGGAGCTGTAGTAGTGCTTGTTCTCATCCACGTTCTTGGCTTTATTATAATATAGTTATCTTCCTTGTTTCTTTGCTATATGTAGATTCATATGTATGTGGTTAAGATCTTGGTAAATAATATTATAACATGATGCTACACGTAAAATACAAAGCAATAAGGTCTTACAAACTTTGAAAACCTATGGAAATAATGTTAAAGTATTTAAAAGGTCTTACAAGATTTTAAAAAGCATTTGAAAGATTTTACAAGCCTTTTATAAGGTTTAAAAAAGGTTTTTATAAGACTTTTAAAAACTTTTAAAAGTATTGAAAAGATTTTACAAGCCTTTTTTAAGATTTTTAAAAGGTTTTAACAAGTTTTTAAACGCTTTTATAAGGTTTTGTGAAGTATTTACAAGATTGTAAAACCTTTTAAAACCCTTGTATTTTTTTTTTTTTTTAAAACATTTAGAACCCTTGTAAATTCTTTTAAAAACCATTTAAAATCTTCTTAAAAACCTTTTATAATCTTCCTTGTTTCTTAGCTCTATGTAGAAGTATATGTATGTGGTTAAGATCTTGGTAAATGATATTATGATCATGATGCTACACGTAAAAACAAAGTAATAAGGTTCTAAAATGAGTACAACTCATCAATCTCTAATAAGAACTTTAAAATTTATAAAAACATTATACAAACTTTAAAACCTATAAGAAATCTTGTAAAAGTTTTCAAAA